AACAGACTAAGAACGCAAATCTTCTTGTTGCTTGTGGTATTTCAGATTGATGAAGATTACTGTTTATAAAAAAAATAACTCTTTTCACTTTCATGAATAGGAAATATTTTTATCAAATGTATGGTGTGGGCGATCGAAGAAGATCATACCCACACCTAAAACCACATCCATGCCAACAAAAATCAACTGATTCTAACGTTTTTGTTTCGTTATCATGAATAAGTATTCAAGTCAACTTAGATTCAAGCATTCATTGAATAGCTATCAATAAGAATGTCGTTTCTTTTTAGCGAGCCTAGTACATATAGAATATGAGAAAGAAGCTTGAAAACTGAAGCTCATCAAACAAAACAGACAGATATGTATTATTGTGTATATGAATACGAATGTATATGAATATGAAAATTGAAGAAATATGAACAGAATAACGATCGATACGTTTGCATTATTGCATTTTGATATTTTTCAATAATGATTATATACGAATATTTAAGGCACATTCACATCAATGATAATAGAATGTCGTTACTCATGTTCCATGATTTGTATTAAAATGTATGAACATTGTTAGGATACCGAGTTGTTTTATTACGTATTGAGATTGTGAACACATGTTAACCAATTAAGAAGCAATGTCCGCAAAGCGAAATCGAGAGGAGAGAACAAAACAAGAATGATCGCATTGTAAAATCAAGAGAAGATTTATTAGATTAGAAAAAAATTATAGATAAATCAATCATAGGTGTGAGGGTAAGTGAAGAGACAATCCACACGCAAACCCCACATTTTTGCCGAAATTTATCATGACACATTTGATTTTCAAATGGTTTTATTTTATTATAAAAAATGTGTAATAATTACCGATAATAATGATAGTTCAAATTAAGTATCTATACTTTATAATATCAGCCAAACTTATTTTCAAATGTATAATATCAAATATGGTATAGAGTAAATACGACAGTGTCTTGAGGTGCAAGAGACAATCGTTGATGCTGAAAATGATCAAGATCTAATGTCTTTCAAACAAATTTTATCGTTTACACAATTATTATATGATGCTCGTAAGAGAAAATATTCACCCAAATACAAGAGATTGCTCTATAAAAAGTGTTATCTACGTGGTAAGAAAAAACATTCTTTTGCAATGGTCCCGTCAGAACTTGCTCATTTAACGTCTGAGTTTTACGAACAATTTGAAGTCCTATCAATCAAATGAAGTGGCTGTGAGTGTGGCGTATGGTTGTGCATTAAAAGACTACCCATACCGACAGTAGTTTGTCGAAAGAACACTTGGTCGATAAACTACATCAATAAACTCAGATGAAAGTGGAATGTAGATAGTTTTCTGATGCACACACGCCACATATCACGCACCACAACTGCCCCCAACTACCCACATCCGCGCCCAGCATCATCACACCCATACCCGATGATCTTTTCTGGACCTAAAATGAAACACATAGATACTGTGCTACTGCGCTCTATTTTAACGTATACAGCAGATTCAATGGTCGTATTTTGCATATCAATTTTCAACCAGTTAATTCACTGTATTGAAAAATCAAAATATTACATAAGATACAGCGTGAAACGCTCTACAATTTACATCAAACCACTTAATTTATAGTGAGACTTCTTGTTTTCAAAATGGATAATTCTATGCGACTAAATTTTGACGTTTCTAAGGAGATTACTTGTGTACACGACAAATTTTTGTTCTTATTTCCTCAATTAATGAGTGATATTGAAAGCCATAATCGATGGACGAGCAGCTTAGACCAATCGATACGCGTTCCAATTATATTTTCCTATTCATTCTAATATTACTTGTTCGAGGCATATACCTTCTACATAGTAACAAAGCACAAATGTAGAAGTGTTGCCATTAAAAAAAAAAGAAATGAAATTCGAAGGTCTTCGAAATTTGGTCGCATAGAATTGTCCATTTTGAAAACAAAAAGTGCAACTATAAATTAAGTGGTTTGACGTAAATTGTAGAGCTTTTCCCGGCGCACCTACTGACAAAATTCAAGAGTTTTATTATTGGTCGAAGTTGAGACATAGAAAATAAAAAGTATGGAAACATTTTGACACACTCCATGTTCATAAACTTATGTTCCTTTTCGTTTCTCGATATATTCTTTACAAACTAAAACAATAAAAATAAATAAAATACGGTTCAATTTGACGTATATTTGTGTTGTAGTAGTAGCTCGTCTCAAGCCATTCTCATTGATTCGCTAGTTAGGATTGAGATCTACCACCCATATAATGATGTCCTTGAGCAAAGTCAAAAACAGTCATGACATTGCTCCCATATTCACACCATCGCATCCGCAAAGCATCTGTACGTGAAAAGATGATGAAACGATTGTTTTTCTTTGGAATAAGCTATATACTATGACGTCTATTGACTCTTACAAAAGCATGATAACAGGTAGGAAGAGAAAAGAAAAGACAAATACGGTGTAATATCAGTAAAAAAAACAAAGAAGAAAGATAAATAAATCAAAGACAAGCGATATGCTTACTTGTTTCTTCTATAGAATATAATAGACAAAGAATCTATAACATACAGATCATAAAGAAGATTAACATGGAAAGAGAAGATAGTGCTGTTGAAAAGCTCAGGAGATCTCACGTTCTAATTTAATATATTTTTTCACTAGAAATGATTTTCAATGAATTGGAGTTCGTGAATTAATATTGACTCGTATTATCAATCACTTTTCTCACTCTCTATGTCTTACGAGGAAACCTTCCCAAGTGTTAATCGCTGATCGAGCTCATATTTTGCCCATAAGTAAAACTCGATGAGACTAGCAGTAGCCTAAACGGATTCGTCCCCATACGCTGTCCTTCCGGAGTTACGACCATTTTACTGATTTTTCGGTCTCTGGCAATGATATTTATAGTGAAGCCCAACAATGTACATGAACAAATATTATTTGCCAACCAACGAATAATAGAACTAACTATAAAATAGAACCTGTCAAAATTTACTTGAACAACAAGAAGACATTCGAATTTCATTTCAAGGTTTATCTAATCTTTTGCACTATACTCTTTGAGTTAAAACTATTTTTATTACAATTTTATTCTCGTTCGTATTTAAAGCCATGGTAACTTTATACCATATGTTAAATTAAGAAAATCGTCAACATGATCTTTTTTTCAAAATATACAATTAATAATATAAACCGATCGGTTCAGTCACACCAATGGAATGCGTCAAAATGTGCTTTTTTACCATTTCATTTCCATTCAATATTTGAAACAAGAAGTTTTGCTTATCTAATGGTTTTAATTCAGAAAACTCTCAATGAAAAAAGTGGCAGTGCGGTAGTTCAAAGTTCTTTGACACTGAGACTTTATATTTTGTCAGTCTATTTCAAACTAGTTCATAGAATTCTTTTCATACCTTATTTACTTTTTAAAGTTCAAAACATAATAGAACTACTGAAAGAGTAACAGAAATAATTAAACTACAAAATAAATAAAAATGAAAAACAATTATTCCCTTGAAAATCTGAAAGTGAAATTCATCTTTCACTTAATGAGATTCTCTCATTTCATGAGAAAAGACTGAATCTTCTACTAAGTTCGGAAACATATGTGTGATAGATCTAGAGCACAAGTTTAAAATTCTTGTTTATATCAAATAAATCATCAAGTTTTCAATATATCAATAAGTTGTCGCCATTTGGTTCTAGCTCGAATGAGCAGGTTCTTTCTCGAAACTCTCGAATTTCATCGAAGGATTGAGTTTTTCGTTTATTTTTAAAGAAATAAGCAAAGAAACATTTCTAAATGGGAAACTACAGAAAGCAAAAAGTCATTGAAAATAACGTCATGAATCGCTATACTAGTATATAAATATAAAGGGCGTCCCAGAAATTCTGAAGTAAATTTAAAATGCATCGTTCTCGCATTTGACAAAAGCAAACTGTTTGAAACTTTGGCAGATTATTGTGCATGCTTGGTACTAAATAACTACAAAGTTTCAGATATATAACTTGTATTATGGATGAGAACCAGTAATAACACTAGCATGTACTATTTTTTCAATTTTCCTATCTTTCGGATTTGCAACATTTTTTTTATTTTGCCTATATCTCGGCATTGGAAGATGATGAAATCTTGAACTTTTTTTTGAAAGATGCGCCATGAAAAGCTCTACAAAAATTGTAAAACTTAATTCCTATTGGCTTGTGTTAATGGTTTCTATCATAGTCTAAATGAAAAACCTACATGATAGTAGTACTTCTCACCATGCTGTGCGTAATAAATAAATGTTTGGATGACCTTTTTATTTTGCTTGTGTCTCAGCTTGAGAAAACGAAAACACATTGATTTTTTTTTCAAAAGATGCGCTGTCGAAAGCTCTACCAAAGTTGTAGAAACAAGTTCCTATTGAAAGACAAAAAAAGTCTTCCAAACATTTATTTATTACGCACAGCATGGTGAGAAGTACTACTATCATGTAGGTTTTTTTATATTGAGTATAGTGGAAACCATTAAAACAAGTTAAGAGGAATTATTTATTACAATTTTTGTAGAGCTTTTCATGGCGCATCTTTTAAAAAAATCCAAGATTTCATCATCTACTTATGCCCAGATATAGGCAAAATAAAAAAATGTTGCAAACATTTTGGCACACCCGGAAGATGATCAGGAAAATTGGAAAAATAGCACATGATAGTGTTATTACTGATTCTCATCCATAGTACAAGTTATATATCTGAAACTTTGTAGTTATTTAGTACCAAGCATGCATAATAATCTGCCAAAGTTTCAAACAGTTTGCTTTTGTCAAATGCGAGAACGATGCATTTTAAATTTACTTCAGAATTTCAGGGACACCCTTTATAGGGACGAAATAAACTTCCATTTGGATATGAATACATTCTATTTGATTCACATCGTTCGTTGATTATTTGAGAGCAATTTTTACGATCACAAATACAATCATGTTCGAATTCATCTGATAGTGCACATCAAATTAAATAGATACATTGATCCACAATAGAAAAATTTGTTTGTTCCATACTTAAAATTGAATCATTATAACCAAATTTATTCGAACATAAACCAATTTTTGCTAATGTCCATAGACGCCATCGTGAACTTGCTTCACACATATGATTTATATCATGTCGACTTTGACAATACATATCTGTTGGTAAAACTGTCTGATAATCGAAACGATTCCAAGGAGTAATACATTGACCATCACCATATGACCAAATGTATTTTATAAAAAACTGATCATCACAATCACAACTGCGTGATTCATGAAGACAAAACTGATGCATTGAAATCAATCTTTCATCCATATACAATCAATTTCTCCTACACAAAAAAAGAAATATTTTTCTGCCAACACATAAATATAATCTAAGTAAATATTCGATTAGAACAGATTGGAATAGAACAATTGATTTACATATATTTTCAAAAATTAAATAAGAACATTAGTTATATGAATTGAATGAAAGCAATTTTTTCTTTGCATACTCATTTTTGTGGTCTTTTTATGTCGATCAAAAGATTTGTTTTTCTCGATCAATGCTTCTAAAGATTGAATCTGTTCTTGGGTTCTATCCTATTCAGTGAAGAAATCAACCTAAATACAATAGATCTGCTACTCACCATCAAGCCAATATTCTTCTGCAATACACATAACATTCATACAACGATATTCATTCTCTTCACATTCATTAAATTCTAATTTATCACAAAAAACCAATCGATTTGATTGTTAAATTCATGATATTATTTGCACTTCAAATATAGATAAGCGAACATTTGTATTTTAGATAGAAGAAGATAAATAAATGAACTGTCAATCAACAAATAATAAATCTTTCACCTATGTCGTTTTCTAAATGTGTTAAAAGTTTGGAAGAAAGATAACATGTATTTATTTTATTCTATCATTTTCATTGTGATCGCTTTAACGTAGAACAGGACAATTGATTTGATAATGTCAAAATAAAAATTATGGAGTACTGATTTATTTATGAAATATTTACAGACTTTTTTGATAAAAATACAAGAAAAAGAAAAATGAACACACCCACACCCTTACATATTTATACATTTACTATAGAAAGGTCGAACTTATCGGACAATTTAGATTTCTACAAAAGAATTTTACATATTAAAAAAAAAAGAATTTTATCTTCTTCTGTCTATTAGAAATAAACGGAAAAACCAACAATGCACATTCAGTTTTTCAATCAAATTTAAAAATAATTTTTCTTTCTTTAATAATGATTCTTGAATAAATTTATGAAAACAAAATTTCCTCTCTTATCATTTACGTAAATTAATTCATGTCATCTTTCAAAGTTTAAAGTAAATTTTATTTTACATTTTTTTCGTGAAAATCATTTTTCATTTATTATATGAGAAAAACCTATGATATTTCCTGATGAAATTCATATAAAATAAATTTTTATCTGGCTTGCAATATCATACAATGTTCTCTGTTTCATCAAACTTCTAATCATGAAAAATTTTATTTCGAAATTCCATATAATAAAACACAATGAAATTGATTCTCTCTTCTGATAAATGCTCAACTAAATTCACCATTACTTATTATACTCTTTCGAGAAATCTTACCCGTAAGATCAATTTTTTTTACCTCGGATATAAACTATTCAGAATGGAATCATTCACAATACTTTTACACTGAAAACTGGATTGTATAAAGTTATTTTAGTTTATCTATGAAAGAAATATTTATAAGCACAGCACATGATATCGTGCCTATCTTTAAGAAAAATTGTAAACGATGACCTTAAGCAATCATTCTTGTATTTCGATCAACTTTTGAATAGCTCAGCTAGAATAGTATTTTGATAAGGCAGCACTTTGCTGAAGATAGTATTAGCTATTCTGAAGTTCGTAAATTGTTGTGTCATATTCTGTGTGTACGACTCTTAGGAATAGGTGTCGCTGCCTCTGAGTTTTGCTTTGTCTCTCTGAATGTGCTTTGAACAAAAAACAACCTCAACAAGGATTCTATTTCCTTCAAAAAGAAAGCAGATTTTCTAATCTTTCATTATCAATTATCGTACAGCATAATCAATCTAGCCTACATCACTGCATTCAATTGATATTTCAATCGTCGCTAGTGTATAGTTAAAAATAGAGTACACGTGGAGATCTCTATTTAATAGTATATTTTATCTCTGAGAGTAGTTACAAAGATATAAAGAAAAAACCTTTTTTTTTTCTTTATGTGCTTTCTTTGTTATTCAGGTAACAATCTAAACATTCTTATAGAAAAAAAAAGGCAAGAACGAAAAAGAAAAAGACAACATGTAAGTGCAAATGGCGACGTTATGACATTTGCCAATAAAGTTTTCGAACCAACAAGCAAACATATTATTACATCATGAGTAGTGTACTCGTATTGTTAGTACTCTTTGTTATCATATACGCACTTGGTTATTTTATTTATAAAATTTATTTCTATTTTCCACCGATTGAACAAAAACAATTAACAAATAAACGTGTCATAATAACTGGAGCATCACGTGGCATAGGTGAAGAATTAGCCTATGAATATGCACGTTATAATTGTCGTCTTATATTGGCTGCACGTAGTATTGATATATTAAAAAATCAAGTTGCTCAAAAATGTCTTTCATTAGGTGCAACACAAGTTGAATGTATTCAATTTGATGCATCAACAGAACAAGCATGTATTGAACTTATTCAAAAAACAATTCAATATTATCAAGGTATTGATATTCTTGTACTTAATCATACTACAGCAGTTTATGAACCATTTTTTAAAAGTGATATTAAAACAAATATTGAAAATATGAAAAAAGTATTTGATGTAAATTTTTTTGGATATTTTCAAACGAGTAAGAAAACAACAAAAAAAAAAGAATTTGTTTATTTTCAAATTTTTTATTTTTTAAAGCGATGGCAGCTCTTCCTTATTTAGCTCAAAATGGAACATATGAACAACCATCTCAAATCATTGCAGTATCATCATTAACTGGTACTTGTCCATTTCCTCAAACAACTATTTATGGTAAGTTATTATTATATTAATGTTAAGACTCATGAAAAAAGAAATTTATTTAAATCAGGTACAACCAAACATGCTATTCAAGGTTTCTTTTTGAATCTTGCTCGTGAACTTCGTACCTCTAAACAATATCAAAAACGTGTTACAACAACTGTAGCTATTCTTGGATTAATTGCTACCGAATCTGCACTGCATGCAACTGACAAAACTCTTCATTTTTTAGCGGCTGATGTACGTAAAACTGCTCAAGCAATTATAGCTGCTGGTGTTTATGGACAAACTCGTTTATTTTATCCACATTTTTTAGCAATCATTCCACCACTTTACTATATATTCTCTCCTATATATGAGCTCCTAGCTCGCTTGGGCAATTGATTATCATACTTTGTCGAAAGAATAAAAAAAAAAGAAAAAATTAAGTTGAACGAGATATACGTACAAAGATATTTTACATGTTTTTTTTTTGTAATAAGAGACTTGTCATTGATAATAAAAATGTTTTTTCCTAAATAATATGGTTGATTAATATTTGTATCAGCATAATAAAGAGTTCTTTCAAAATCTGTTGCACCATCAGCTATCTGTTTTAAATGAAAAGATTGTTAGCGCAGTTCTTTTGGAGCTGACATGTGTAACTCATATGACTTCTTTAGATTCATTATACTAATACAAAATATTCAAAGCGTAAAGCCTTTAAAACACAGTAGTTCTTTTCCCGTGATGATCAATCGTTAGAAAACGGTGACCTTTATATTTCTACATTTCTAACAGGAACTTTGTTTTCATTTTTCTTATAGACGCCTTATGTTTTTTTACAAGAAAAAAAATAACTTTTTTTTGGAAAATGTTAAATTGAATCAATTTTACTGCGGAAGAAAATCATCGACGAAACTAAGTAATATAGAACGAAAACTAGATATTCGCATTTCAAAGATATAAAATAAATAAGCAAAAAGTAGCGATCTTTCATACATGACATTTGATGATCCATACACTAGTCGAAATATTCTTCATCATCAAATGATGATTGAAATTCAGTTTGACGACAAACGATGATTTATTTAATTGAGAGATCACAAATGGTTGATGAGGTTGTAATTGATTAATGATTGGAAGTTGAGATATTGAATGACTCGTTGTTTGAGAACCAGACAATCTGTTTCTTTCTTAATTGGATTCAATTCATCATCTCAAGAACGCAAAGCATAACGGCGTACCATATTCATAAACTGTATTTATTGTAAAATGTAAACAAGAAATAGGGGTGTAGTAGATTTCAAATACTATATTGAACTCATTCATTTTCATGGTTCAGTAGAAGAAACAATAAGGATCGTATACGACTCTATCTTCCTTGTTGTATGCAAGAATGCATTTGAAACTAAATAACTGAGTTATACCCTAGGAACAACCATCTATTGTTAAGTTCATAATCTCTTATTTCGAGTAAAACTATATCACGTATAAACAAGTTGCGTTCACTTTGCCAACACATCACTTTAGGGTGTGTGAATGTACTAGAATGCCCTGAAAATTTCAGCTGAAAAGAATATTTTCTTCGAGAAATATTGGATTTTCGAAAACCACACAGATCCCATACACGATGCGAGAATCTCATGTTTTATTGACATTCAATATCTTGCGAAGGAAATATTCTTTTCAGCTGAAATTTTCAGGACATTCTAGTTACAAGTAGACCTATCTGTGGACAAAATTTCAGGTCGAAATATCATCAGCCAATTTGTTTGTACATATCGTGCCATGGGCTAAAATACAAGTAAAATTGCTATAACTCTGTAGAGGAAGCCTATGGGCCCGAACCCTTTTAGGATTATTCTAGTCTAGAGGTCCCCTCTATATGTGCAAGATATGAGCTCAAAAGCGGCGAATCACTTCAGGCGGTTCTTTCGTTAGTTAAATGTAGAAAAAGTAAAAAAACTGGTTTTACAACTTGTAATATAACATCCGAATCAGTTTAAATCATACTTGATTCAAGATAATACACCACTTGTTAATACTATAATATCTCAGCACATGTAAGCTTTCACAAAACTATGTGGCAAAAATTGCAAAACTGTTTGAAGCCATAGTCGAATTGTCAAGTGTTTGCCTCAACAGCTCTCTAATGCGCACCTTCAGATACCCATACTCAAATCCTCGTCTATTCTGTCAAATAAATTTTTTGTTAAACAATAGTATCGGTAAGAATCTCAGTACTTAGTGTTTCTGATTTTTTTAGATGGTCTCTTGCACTTAGAA